AGTTTCAGTTGCTACACAAGGCTGTTCACAGCATCCTGCATGCAGACACTGGCCAGAGCTTATATGAAGGGGAGGACAGGTAGATGCTACCTGAGAGCATGAAAGAGAGAATGAGAGAGAGCATGAAAGCCAAAAATTAAAAATATACCCATGTTGGCAAGTGGCAAGAGCCCAAGGTTTGTATTCTCCAGTTCATCATGCTCAGCTCTTGCATTGCTGGTGCATGGGGTCTCAAGGTGGCAGAGGATGCCAGCTCCCAAGGAAAGGACCCATCTTTCTTTCCATAGGTTTTTTTGGGCATCTGTCTTGAAATGTCAATGTAAGATACCTTAAACAAACCTGAACTTTTTTTTCAAGTAGTATTGAAAGCCCAGTCCCTAGGTGAGTGGGCATTGAAAATTCCAAGTTAATATTGAAAATCCTGATCCAAATAAATAACTTATGATATCCAATGACTGCAGTGAAGGGGGAGAACCCTGATAGCTACTATAAACCTCTGTTCATTGCAACTGCATTGGAAATGAGATCTGGGAAACCCCATTTCCAAGCAGGGCAGGATTTCCCCTACTTGCATGTGCACATGCAGCTTTGGCAGTCATGTCCCCCCTTGCAGCAAATCCCCAACTTTTCCTGGTGTCCTGCATGGAGGTGAGTTTCACTCATGGCAAACATCTCTCACAGACTGTCAAACCCAAACATGATTGCCTTGTTGCCTTGTTGCTGGAGGTCAAGAGAGGTAAAGACTTCACATGAATACAGTGGAAACAGAAAACAAACACACAAAAATCCCCAGCAAGAAAGGACAAGCCAACCTTAACAAGCAAGTCCGTTACTCATAAATAAAAAGAAGGCAATCACAACATGCATTAAAGCTTGTGGGAGCCAAAAGTCATCTCTCATCTGTGGGTGACTGATGGCTCGTGGGTTTTCCAGCACAAACCTGCCTGGTGTCGTTTGTCACCTGCGAGGAGTAAGCTGCTCCTGAAGGCTGCTCTGTGCTGGTGTGTGTGCGTGCGTGCATGTAACTCACGGAATTTCAGCAAAGTCGCATAAGAGGATTGTAGTCCTGGTTCAGCTAAAGACTTAAGATTGTGCATAATGTGTTAAGAGGAGCTTAATGCAATCCTACTACTCTGCCAGAGAAACCCTGAACAGCAGCCTGTCTGTTCTCACCTTTCTCCATCTGCTAGCCAGCTGTGGAAGAGCTGGCTGGCCCTAGGACTACTTAAAGGAGCAGGTGCATAGGCAGAGTTTGGGATTTTATATCTGTTTTCTCATGAGAGCAGATTTTTGTGCTCACTACAATCAAAAGACACTATGCAGGACAAACTGATGCAAAATTCATAAGGTGTGGAGAGTTTGCATTTTTTGCACAATCTCGAGGCCTCTGGTCAATGTCTTATAAGAAAGGAGGCTTCACAGCTCTGGTAGAGGAGCAGAGAGCCAGAAAAGAGCAGTTTTATGTCTCAGTGGCAGGAAATACTCTGAGAGTAAGGAATGGATCCCTTGGCCAAAATTACATCAACAAGGAGGACATGTGCTATTGTGAAATAAGTTATCATGGCTAAGGCAACACAGGTAAGAGTGCACTTGTGATGAGACAGCTGTCTGAGGATTAGAGCAGGGATGGCAAAGGAACAGAAAGGCAAGATATTCATAAATCAGACGTGAATGTCAGGCAATGGTGAGGTCAAAAGGTTGGGTGAGGGTGTTTCCTGCTGCTCAGCTGCTGGGAAAGTTTGGGTTTTAACAGCCAAGCCAGAATCACACACATCCTTATTCTGAACTTCTCCATGTCATTGTGCCCCATGTGCAAAACAAATTGCTTGTGAAATCCTTTCTCCTAGATTCTGTGTATGTTCTTCCTAGACTTTCAGGCAATGCTGGTGCAGTGTTACCAAGTCTTGCTACCTGCTCAAGCACAAGCCCCTCTGGAGTCTCCAGTCACTGCCTCATATAAATAAAGAAATAATAGTGCAGATTATTAAATAATGCATATTATGAAATAACCATGCAGATTTCCCAAAGTTATCACACTGACCAGGATAGTAGCACAATAAAGACTGGGGAAAAAAATAAAGGAAGAAAATTTATTAAAACCTGGTTTGTACACAGATAGCAAAAAATTAACAGTTTCAGGTGAATGTCAATGAGACAGGGAAAGGAAGTGGACTGGAATATGAATTATTTCATATTCTGGAAGACAGCAGAATCCTAGAACAGCCTTTCAATCCTCCCCATGCTAGAGAATTTCTGAGTAGAGAACTGGAAAAGTAAAATGGCTGTAACAGCAGATCAGTGATACAAAGTGATTCCTGCTGTTTATAATTGGTCAGCAGCCAGGCAATGTGTGTAATACCTTCTGTCCTAGAAAAATATTACAGGGAGTAGTCCATATAGACAAGCTTTACATGTTTATGAGGTTGCATTCTGGAAAGCAGTGACTTTGAGAAGCTCTGAAGGGGTACAAATAATTCACTGGAAGCTGGCTTTTGGCAGAGCAAGAAATTGTCCTGGTAGATAATTAAGGAGATATGGAGTAGCAGAAAGAACATTTCCCATTGTCATGGCATTGACAAAACATTCACCCACATTCAAAAGGGAAACAGAATGACTTGGAAAGGTTCAGAAATGAGCTACAGAAATGATATACAATCTCTAAAATACTATCTAGGATAAGAAATTCTTCAGGATACCATATAATTTATTTGAAGAAGCTTAGGGACACTATGATATTTTAGTTTTCTATTAAAGAAAAATGAACCCAAGAGCAGAAAGGCCTATTACCCCACAAACAAAACCCTAATGAAGTCCAATCCAGAAAATGGAACTCATAAAATTCAAGCTGAAAGTAAGATGCAAGGGGGGGGGGGGTTTTTTTTAGGATTTCAGGAAAGAAATAACTGAAATCATTTCCTGAGAAAAATGGTGACTTTGTCATCACTTGGACTCTTTACATCCAGCCGGCAATAATTGCTGAAGTACGTGGTCTAGCTTACCAGAATGTACTGGGTTTGATAAGTGCTGGGGAAGAACAAAACGTCTGGAGTGCCAGCTGGCCAGGCATAGCTCTGTGTGCTGGGTTTTGCAAGTGGTGTGACGAGATCAGCCACTGTGGTCCTTGTGGCTGTAACAGTCAGACCTTGTAATGCATTTTCCATCTGTAATTCTGACAGTGGCTTTCATAAGCAGCCAGTGAGGTGGGCTGACCCACTGTGACTGTGAGCAGAGAGTCTCCTTCCTCAAAACCTGATCAAGGCTAAAACCTTTGTTGGCATTGCCTGATGACCACTTTTCTTCTGAGGGGACAGATAATGAGAAATGGCCTTGGTGGGATTTCTCTACAATGTCCAAGCTACTTAAAGTTTGGCATGTGGGCAATCCTGGAGCCAGAACCAGTCATCAGTGGAGTTTTCCTTACATCTGCTGGCACTGCTTTTATTATCCATGTTCTCTAGAAACCTATGCACAGGGTGAGATATGAGCACCAACCTTTTATATCTGTCAACATGGTGACTAAGAAATATACTGCTTTTCACTAGGGCCAGCATTAGATGTAGAAAATTAGGTGTATAAACAATAACTATTATCAATTTCAGGGTGTGCCTACTGAAGAGTTAGGTCCTATCAGGAAACTTCAAAGAGACAAGAAGAACTTATGGTATAAGCAATAGCAATGGAGAGTACCATACTTGACTCCAGCTCTCAGTCTTGCTACTAATGGTCTTTGATTGCATGCATGTCCTCCTCCATGCCTGGACTTCTGCAGCAGTAGAAAAATTGTATTTCCTGTCTCCCACATGTATCTTTACAGATTCCCAAATCCAGGGGCTGTCTCTCTCCACCTATGTTTGTGTAGTGCCCAGCAAAGAAAAGCGCTGAGATTCTCAACTTGTTTTCTAAAACAATGTCTAATAATAATAACTACCATGTCTGCTGAATATGGTCACAATTTAGGAAGCAAAGTGTGTGGCCCCAGGTGAGATTTTGATGGAACCAAACAGATTGTATTGATGAAGGCTAAATTGTTTGCATTTCTTTCTATCATCACACTCCAGTAAGACAGATAAGTTCCCCCAATGTCTAAAAGATATATAGTACCCCCAATCTGCTCTGTAGTCTGTGGGCTCATATGGTTTTAAATTACCCCAGCTCTCAGAACATTGCCCACTAAAGACAACTTCTTTCTCCCCTCTTTTACCACTTCTCTTTCCCAGTATACTCTGTTCTTCCCTACTTGTGTTATATCAGTATAAGTATTTAAGTCCTGCCTGCTACAGAGTGATTTTTTATTTTGTTTTGTGTCCAAGAAGAAGCTTGCTACCCTGCTACGGAAATAACTGGAAGTTTTTCCATTCTTTTCCATGAGCTCTTGGACTAGGTTCACTCAAACTTTCAGTTTACTTGTCTTATCTTTAGTGCTGAGAGCTGGATTACTGTTGCTGGCAGGTATGGAGACCAGACTATGTCTATAACACAATTGTCTAGGAAATACACATTTTAAAGTGCTTGCTTAGAAGCCAGTGAGAGGGAAAAGTAGAAGTGGGATGAGACTGGTAAAGGAGAGTAATGCTAGTGTTCAAAACCCCATTTGTCTGCTGCAAATGAAAATAATGGTTCACTAGAACATTCACAGGAGCAAGAAACACCACGTCTCACATGCTGGGAAGAGAATGGCATAAACTGCCTCTGGAGAAAAGACTGAGATTCAGTGAAAGATTTTGGGTAGTGAGTCATCATTTGTTAATAAATTCTTTTGTGTATCACAGAGATGTAAATATTTCACCTAAAATAGTAGAACACCATCAAAATATACCAAATACTTAAAAGACCACAAAGGAAACTACTACTTGTCACTTCCCAAAGCTGTGCATTCCTGCATGATGACATGAAGAAAGAAAATGTTCTTGCCCCTAAAGCAGAGGTGGACTATAAGTACCACAGCAATGCCCTTGGGATGCCGATGAATAAAGACAATTCAGGAGAGCAGAGGTGAAGCTTCAGGATTGAGCGGGAAGTCTTAGTCAAGCTGAGCATATGTTTAGTTGCAGAGGGTGGAATGAGAAATGTTGCTTATTAGGAGAAAGTTCTTTATCTCTGTGCAGAAGCTCTCTGCTAGGGGTGGGGAGCAGTTGCACATCCAGAACAAGGCAGAGTGTAGAGAGAGTGTCTCTTGACACTCTTGCTCACAGTGTCTTGTGAAGTCAGGCTCTGCAGAGCACAGGCTTCCCTCTGGGTACTACCTCTGTATTCCAACACAACCAGCTGATTCTCATTCAGCAGTGGTGGCTTCCAGAAACAGATGAAGCGCCCATCCATCTCCAGACAGGTGCTGAATAGAAAAATGAAAGTAACTGAATAAAAATCCCTGGAAACAGAGATGGTGACAGCAAAAAAAAGGGGAAAGTAACATTGTTACTCATCAGGCTATTACCTTTGGGAAGGAAACCATGTAACTTAATATTCCTCTGGACCATTCATCTTCATTCTCCTAACTTCATATCAATAGCTGCCAGGTGGTGCCTGCAGAGGCCATTCAAATCAGATTATGTTATCATAGTTCTCCAGTCATCTCCAAGAGCAGGATCATGATCATGAGGAGGAAATCTAGTTATTCAGGTACATGTTACTTTATTAAAAGTTTGAGCAAAGTACATTGAGCCATTATAATGGGATTAGGGTTTGAGTTGTGTTCTCAGGGTTGCCATGACTATGTGATTTTGGTACTGTGTTGTGGGGCTTGGAAAGAACAGCTCCACTCTGGCCAACTGCAAATAATCCAGGCCATCATCACATAGGAGTGGACACCAGCATGGACTGTGGCCAAGAGCATGAAGCTTGTAGAGATTAGATTTATCTAGTTAAAAATGCCTGAGCCAGACACTGAAGGAGAGGTGTGGAAGAATACCAATGCCTACTCACACTTAGCAAAGCAGCAGTCAGGGAGAGGAAGAAGAAACAGCTTTGATAAATCTTCTAGAGTGTCTCTCAACACCCATTTCCAGCCTTTTGCTCCAGTATAAACACATGTTGCTCCAGAAATCCAGTCTTTTCTCATTAGTGCCACCTGTTCTAATAGGGTATGAAATTTTTTTTTTCTTCACCTGTCAAGAGGTTTATGGGGTTTAATGTCCTCCTTCACATTCTCAGTGAATAGGAACCCACATAACAATAGGCACTGAAAGATGATTCCCAGATATAGACAGTGAAGGATAAAAGCAAAGGCAAGCAGGAGGAGCAGACTTGACAAACATCCTGAGCTGCTTTTACAAAGAACTGTCCTGCTCCAGGACCAACAACACAGCATTTTTAACACTACTATTATTTTAATAGAGCTACTATAGGGGTGAGATTCTCTGTCTGGGATCTATTCATATAATTCAGCAACACACCCAGCAAAATTACTTACTTACCCAGCAAATGTTATTAGTGATGACCTGTGGACAAAATGGCCAGATTCTCAAAAAATATTTTCTCAGTGTAGGGTGCACGTCTCTCAGTGAGTCCTGAGTATGTTTGAAGACATATGCCTTTTATTTGAAACCTTGGCTTTTAACTTTTTCTGGTCCCACCAGCCTTAAAATGGTCACTCCTCGCGTTTTAGTCCTGTGACTGGTGCATGGCTAGCACAGGAGACATTTCCAACAACAGGGAAAGCAACACTTCTTTTCCAGCTACTCCTGTGCCTGGAATAACACTGACATTTTGGGACCACTTAGTAAGTTCCTATTCTTAATCTCCTGACAAGGAGTCAAAAGTACCTTGTCAAAAATGACAAGGGGTAGTTGTGGCCCCTCAGAGAATGGCCAAAGCTGACACGTCTCCATACACACTTTCCCAGGAGGGTTTATGGCACAAGCTTCAGCCCTTTCCTGTTATTACAGCAATCCTAAACTCACATGGCCAGCACAAGCCTAGATGTGCGCCTTCAGGCCATTCCCAGCTTTTGATGGTATGTATATACATCACTGAATCACACAGAATCACAGAATGACAGGATTTGCTTAGTTGGAATGTACTCACAAGGATCATTGGATCCAACTCCTTGCCCTGCACAGGACTGTCTCCAAAGTGACACTGTGTGCCTGAGAGCATTGTCCAAATGCTTCTTGAATTCTGACAGGCTTGGTGTTTGACCACTTCCCTAAAGCCTGCTCCAGTGCCCAACCACAGGTAAAAAAAAAGAAGTTTAAACACCTGCCATACCCTCCACATTTATATATGCAACTGCTGGGTAAGGAAATGCTATCAGTACTGCAGTGTCCTGGCAGAGAACAGAACACACCCCTACCCCTTCTCCGATTCACTAAATATGCAGAACATTTTCTCCTGACCTATCACTCCACAGCAAAAATAAGTGTGACATGTACTGTGTCAGAAGACTGCTCGCCTTCTGCACAGGGACCTGAATGAAGACAAACTCCTAATGTGCATCTGCAAAGTGCTCCTGGACCTGGGATTAACTCCTGGAAAACAGTTACACACTTAAAACCTTCAGCTGTCATAAAGCCTTTTTTACACACTGCCTCCCTGGATTGTTCTCCAAACCTGTCATGTGCTCAGGGATAAATCCCTTGATAAAGAGATTTACTTTTTTTTTTTCTTGTTCACATTATTTTAATATATTTGATAATCATTTTAGTCAGCATTTTTTCTTTGGAAATGCAGATTTTAGATCTTGGAGTGGTGAGAACACCCATGCATCCATAAAAAGCAATAATTTCTGTTATGGGTTAAATGGGTACAAATATGCAGTGCAGATTTGCCTAGGACAGGACAGGATTCCCCTCTCCTGGGGACCCAATGACTCAGACAACAAAAAAAAGAGGCAAGGAGTTGCCCCATCCAGGGTCTTGGCGTCAGTCCAGGTTCTTCCCAGTTTCTCCCAAGGGATCCATTCCCTAGAGGTGTGTGGTAGAAGGAGCAGGGCAGTGGAGTCCTATGGAGATGGCTGGAGGGGGACATTCATGCCCAGTGGGAAAAGCTGGACCCATTAGTCCTGAAGAGACATGCAGGCTCCTGCTGGCTCTCTGCACAGGGCGCCAGCCACAGCCGGCTTCTTTGTATGAAATCCTGGCCCTGCTCACAGACTACCATGTGTCCAAGAAAATCCTCTTTTTTCTCATCCTCTCTCTCTCCACAAAGAAATTCTTCCACAGAATTTCTTAGAATCCCAGAATGTTGGCCATTTAGCTGAAGTTTCTGGCCGCAGCACAATTATAATTGGTCTCTCATGGACAGTCTCGGCACTGAGGCCAAAAAACTGCAAGGGTTATTAATGACTGAGTTCCCTTCTACTTCCTAACTACCAGACAGTCAGGAAAGCTAGAGGGGAGCACTTGGGGCTGAGCCACTACTCTCCTCTCGTACGCACTGGCCTAGTGCTCCAGCGCCTTCTTGCAGACACAAAACCGTCCACAGCACAGACACCAGATAGCACAGAGAGCTGTGAAAAGCAGGTCAGGCATTCAGAAGCCCCTCTGGTGCTCAGAGAACATTTCGGGAGCCTTCTCCCTGCAGCTGCAATGCACATCAGGGTGCAGCCTTTACAAAGGCACCTGGTTTGCCACAGGCAAGGTTGGAAGGATAAAGAGACGCAGCTGGAACGGCAGACTGAGAAAACAGAGTCAGACAGAGATCCTTCTCGCTCCACCCCTCAAATAAAAAGACTGTCTCAGGAGAGGTTCAAACTGAGCAAGAATCATATTATTACGATTATTACGTTCCCATTTTACAACAATCACATGGCACAGTGCCAGCTGGCACTGGGAAGCCATTGCTGCTTCTCCTTCCTTGCCTGACAAACACCGTGACAAGAATACAGTCCTTGTTAGGTTGAGAACTGAAGAATGGGAGAGGAGAGGCCAAAAACACCTCCTTGAACAATCACTGACAAGTAAACAGAGCTGCACTTGGGAAACACATATTTTAAACATATCTTCCCTGAGGATTTTGGGGAGGGGAGCTTGATGCATGGGTTGGGAAGGTGAGCGTGTTCACACTCGGGCATATTTCTGTGGTGTCAAGCAGGCTAATGGCAGCTAAGAGAAGAGTCTGTGATGCCTTCATTTCACAGGGGAAGATAAAAGTCTACGAAGCTGAGAATTTAGGGACTCATGCCAACATAGCAGCTTGGGTAAATTTGGACTGGCACTCCATGCTGGTCACGGCTGTGCTCAGCCTTTGATAAGGGTTTGTCTCACAGGAGCTCCTAGCAATCTATGGTCATTCCAGCAAGCCACTTTCTTATCAAAGGTCATGTCAAAAATGTGGAGGGAAGCAGGCCCAATAAGTACAGATGACATAGGGCATTGTTTATTCATGTTAATGTTCCTAAAATCATACCTCCCACTGACAAAACCACTGTATGGAAGCACTGGGAAAAACTCCTATTGTTTCATCAGCAAAATTGTGCATGTCAGCTGCTGTGGATGAGTAATTTTACGCTGAGTTTTGTACAGAGGAGCTAGCACTAAAGGTTTGGAAGTAGTGGATTTCAGAAAGACTTGTGCCTAATCCTGAACATGAACCACTTGTACCTACAAAACAATCTAAATGAACTGTCACCACAGCACAATTATTAGGTTTGTCCAAATGTGCATCCTTTTCCCTGCCAGTGTGCTAGGCCAAGACATTAAACTCTGGTAGCTGAAACACTGACTTCACCCAAGCAACACTTTCACCAACCTACCTGAGCAAGGCAGGACAAGATTCAGCCTGTGCAGTTTCTAGCTGGTTTGATAAATAAGACAATAGTCGTGTTCTTGTCCTGCCCTAACTTTCATGGGCTGGCCAAGAGACTCTGTAAGGGGATGTCCCACAAGGGACATTTATGTATCAATGTTTGGCATCTCCTCCCTAGAACTAATTGCCCAACTATTGTCTTTCCCTGCAGTGAAGGTCCTACATTTGGTCCTGTTTCTGTTGCACTGTTTCTATGACCTTTAGCAAACCTCTTAATTTCTGCTACATCTGAGACAAGTTCAACTTCACTGTCTTAAACAGGCTGGGGCTCAGATGAAGGTTCACGAGTCTTCTTGGACAAAGTTCACCAGCTACTGTCTCTTGAGCAGCACTCCCTGAGATGGCAGCAAGCCAAATCAGTGTGCTGAAAGTGCCATGGCCCTTGTGATCCACATGCTACCAAAAAGGCAGAGACCAAGGAGTCCATATCTCATTTCTAGTCTGCAAGGTTCAGGAGGCTGGTACAGCCTTCTGTATAGCTCTGCCTCTCCTTCTGGCCTTCCTTCCACATGCGACTGATTCAGGAGAGTAAAAAGGCTCTATGAAACAAATAAATGAAAGAAAAAGATACCTCTGGTAAATATCCAAAGGGATCTGTCAGCAAAACCCTTTTAGTGGCCAGTTCTGCCTCTGCCTTCCTCCCCAGAACAAGCATCCTTATAAAAGAAGGCTGCAAGCAGGCCTAAGACCACAGCATGGCTGCTCCACAAAGCATGAAAGTGAGAGCAAAAGGGGAAGGGAGGGTAACAGCTAATACTCTTCAACAACCTGTCCTCTTATGCTTTAGTAAAACTGGCACTGTGATTTTGCAAGGTAATAAGGAAGACAGAGTGACCTGCCACCATTCACCCTGCACCCCTTCTATGGTAAGATTTAGATTGAGCTGTCATGACCAAACACAGCTCGTGAGAGAGACATAGCTCTCTGCCTGAATCTATTTTGGCTCCTCCTCTCTTCCCAACTTGCATTTCCCATATGTAATTTTGAATTATTAAAAATCAAAGTTTCTTGGTGATGGATTTGCATTAATCTTGGGATATGTTTGCATTGGTATTACTCTTAGTTTCTTGCCTTCCTCAGAGATAAGACGGTTTTGCACATGGATAGGGAATCGTTTTTTCAGGCATGAGATTCAATCCAGGTCCAGCTGAATTAAACACATTATTTTTATCAGGATGCATGTAATGGCTAAGTCACGAGTAAAAGATGACATGGGAGTTGTGGGAGGTTGTCCAAAGCTGGCATGTGCTGAAGGTTTGGACAAGCAGCATGATACTCTGCAATGTGTACCACTCAGGTGGATTATGCAGGAAAAGAGAGCGGCTGGACAAAAGGCCAACTTTCAAACATGCAATTGTGGCACTCTTCTTTTGCAGCAGGAATGGCTGGTATGAACAGCTGGTTATTGTAGGCAATGTCCCAGCTTCCCCGTCTCCAGTCAAGAGTGCTACACACCCCAACGGATTGGCCCTGGTGACCATGCGAGAGAAGCACAGGCTTTCTGAATGACTGGGGCTTTCTGGGTACAGCACACATTTGAAGGGTGTGGATAGAATTTGATAGTGAAGAACCTCACTTATTCAGCCCCCAGTTTATCTCCTTTGCTCAGCCCACACCAAAGCAGCCGCTTCCTGTTCTACCTATTCCTGTATCTCTTTTCCTGGTACCCAATAAATACTCATCAATAACAGCACTTACTGCTTTGTCACATGTTCTGCCTACTAACCCCAGACCAGAAAATATTTGACCCTGAGTGATGTTTTCTTTCTCCCCAACTGTACTTTGTAGTATCAGACTTCAATCTATGTCCAACTCAAACTTCAGCTAAAGAATGTGTTGTTGCTAATGTATAACCAGGGAGTGTGAAGCTGCGTGTGAGAACAGCACACACCACCAGAGTGAGAACAACAGCAAGCTCATTGTGCTGCTGCAGAGCATTGTTTGATGTACTTTTTGCAGGACTGTGTTTGGAGACCTCAAGTTGAAGCTAGCTCCAAATGCAGCTGCCTGCCTGTTCCAGGGCCAAAGCACATCATGGAAGAACTGAAGACTCATTCCTTCTAGGTGTTTGGTTTTAATCTGCACTGCTCAAAGATGCCTAAAATCTGACTAATACCAAACTGTCTCTTGCCCCATGCCACACTGTCTGGAGTCTGTCTGGGAGGAGATTTAACAAGCTCCCTGCGTCTGTGGACCTGGCATCAAAACTTGCCTCCCCAAAGCTCGATTTGCTAAGCCTGCTGTTGGCCACATCCCATTTGTCCCACATGCAAAACTTCTGCTGTGTGATGAGCTGAGAGACATTGGGGCAAGGGAGAAGCAGCTTCCAGGATAACTTCAATGGTGTGTTATGCACAAAAAAGGCACTTCCTACATTTAAGGATTGCAAAGGCAT